ATGTTATTTATGTCAAGGTATTTTGCTTCTCAGATACTCCTCCCCCCCAAATTTTGGTCAGAATTGACATGATTTCTCCTTTCAGAAATTGGACGAGAATTGACACACCTGTGACAGACGGAGGCAACTGTGCACTTTTTTTTCAGATTCTGTTAAATTAAATTAATTTGTTGTGTTTTTATGCACTTTTTGACCTACCTTTGTTAGATGAACAATGAATAAAAATTGCATTTTTTTCATCGCAGTAATATGTGTTGATTTAAAATGTGTCACTACCCGCTTTTTACAGGCCGCTGAATGTCTGGCTCAGCTGAATTTTGTAGTTATAAAATCTGGCCCAACTGAATGTGTAGTTGAATAGCCCAGCCCTAGTGCATGCGTTTGTCACCTCCCGCTTGGACTACTGCAACGGTGTCCTGTTCGGGGTTCCCAACAAAACCCTGGACAGGCTCCAGTATGTCCAAAACTGTGCTGCTAGGGTACTCACACACACAAAGCCGTGGCAGCACATCACTCCCACCCTCATCCACCTACACTGGTTGCCGGTCAAGTCCCGCATATCCTACAAAGTCCTCCTCCTCACCTACAAGTCCCTCCATGCCCTTGCCCCCCAGTACCTATCGGACATCCTTCACCCACATGCCCCACCCCGGAACCTGCGGTCCTCAGACTCTGGCCTGCTTAACACCCCCCGCACCAAACTGCGAACCTTCGGGGACAGAGCCTTCAGTGTGGCAGCCCCCACCCTCTGGAACGCTCTCCCTGCGGAGATCCGCAACATCCCCACGCTTGACGCCTTCAAAAGGGCCCTCAAGACCCATCTGTTCACGAAGGCCTTTGGCCCCTAATCTATCTGTTGTTTTGTCTGACTGCCTTTTGTTTTGTTATGTTTGTTTTGCCCTGTTCTTCCTTGTAAAGCGACCTTGGGTCTCATGAAAGGCGCAATATAAATCCAAGCTATTATTATTATTATTATTACTTATTATTATTACTTATTATTTTTCCTTTTGCGTGTGCTTTTTAAGGTGTGACCCTGCCACAGTGAACATCACTGATGAGATGTCTAAAGGATCTTTCGGAAATGTGTGGAAGAATGTCGACCCTAGTGAGACCACGAAGAAGGAGCCAAGCGCTAAAAGGTTAGCCTCCTTATCCATATAACGCTCACATCAACAGATATACACAAGTTTTTCAGATACATCACATAGACTTCCAGAGTATTTTGTCTATTCCAATGGGAACATGATGTCTTTGGGTGTCAAAGCATGTTTATCATTGGAGTGTTATGGAGCATTTACTCTTTGTTTTTTCCAGGAAAGTGAGCAGCTAGTATGTTTATGTAAAAAAGGTTTATCTCAGAGCAGCCCTGCCCTCACAGAGTTCCCACAGAGTAGACTAACATAGTGTCTCCTGCCTGCCTCTCTCATTCCAACACCAAGCTCCCCTTCCTAACCTCTCAGAAGCTGATATCCCAAAGGTAAGCTGTTCCCTCTTCCCGTCGGCATGCAGAGTCCTGTGTGTTTCCTGCGAATGACTGTTGCATGTTGATTGCTCTGTGCTGCAAGTGATTAATAGATACATCATTAATACATAGATGTTGATTGATTGCTAATCACAGCATGAACTGGATGTGCATGTTACTTCAAGGACATTTAGTATGATTGTACATTTGGTTTATCATTCAAGTATTAAAGGAATACTTCAACCACATAATAGACATTTGTTCATCAATTATTTCCCCAGTGGTAAAGACACATTTGTGCATGCCTCTATGATAAACTAAATACATGATTGAAGAATTGAAGTAAACAGGGGCTTAGCACTATTAGTCTTTTTTCTTAAATTAGATTTTAGTGAAACTATATGTGTTTGGGAAGTAGTGAGAGTACATCTGCATAAATAGGACATACATTATACTGCACAGGTTTTGTGACTTAATGGATGTATATACAAAACTCAAGGTAACACTGGGTGATAAATGTATGAAAATTAGTGAGTTATTTTTCTTTGACCTTATTGAGCTTTTTGCATGCTGTGTGATCATGATTGATTGATTCATTGCATCTGTAGTCTGCACTTAGGTCTCAAATGTCCAGTCTCGTATAATAAAATAACACCAACATATGTGAATTTTCCCCATTTAACATTTCTGCTTTTTTCCCGTGCAGTTCTAGCGGCGAAAAGCGACACAAACGCCGGAGGCATGATAAGAGCTTGGACAGGGAGACAAGTTTGTGATGACACCTACTTTCTGGCGGTGCCACTGTGCTGTCAATCAGTAGATCAAAAAACAAAAAAAAGCTGTACCGTGCCACACTCAACCACCTTTGTACTGTGCTACACTGTGTTTTCGTCATGTAAGTCTGTGTGCAAGTTGTGTAAAACAAAGAATTTGTTAGAAACAGTATTAGCACGGGAAGGAATCAGGACACAGTTGTGTTCTTTTTCAATGTATATCAATGTTTGGTGATACCAGCGACAGACGGAAGCCAGAATTATACGACACTTACAAAAGCTGCTGTGTCAATGGGCCAATTAAATAACCATTTTAAACAATTTTTAAATCTACTTTATTTGTATTTTGTATGTTTTTATATTTTTCCAACAGTAGTTGTAAGATGTCCTAAGCCTGCCACAGCCGACTGCAGATGTGTGTGCAGTATTTAATGCCACTATTGACTTGATGCACCTCGAAAAGTAGACATTTGCCTAATCTATTTCACTGGTATCTAGGAGTTGGTTATATAACAAAACTAGTAATTTTTTGGAAAGTATTAAATATACATTTTCTATATTCTGTATATCTTAATGTTTTTGTGACAGTAACAGCTCATATCGCTCCAGAGTTTTCTCCCTTTCTATTTTACAAATAAATGTCTCTCGTCCAGTAAAGCATTCCCCCGCACGAGTTAAAGGAACAGTCTTTCTGGTTATTACTCTCATTCCTTTTCTGCTAGATGACAAGATCGATACCCCTCTCATGCCTGTACACTAAACATAAAGCTAGCTCAAGACTTAAAACACGTAAACAGCTAGGCTGGCTCTGACCAAATGTAACAAAAATAGCCAAAATGTCTCTGATTAATAACTTTAAATGTTGTTTGTATTATCTGTGCAAAAACCAAAATGTAAAAAGGTATTTCTTTTGTTGCTGCTATTTTTTGGCAGGTAGCATGCGACAGCTTAATTTTTAGCAAACAGACACGAGAGCGGTATTGGTCTATCTCTATACAAAAAAAAAGTGAATAAGCATATTGACCGAGTTAAGCTCTTCCTTTAATGACAGTATTCGTTTACTGGCACACATTTCCATGCTAGCATCTAAGCATAGTGCTGGAACGTTCAGTACCTGCAGCTACTCGCCTTGGCTTTTCAATCCCTTTTTCATCCATTTTGCAAATACCGAACTAGAGTGACACTATTTTAAGCTCTATGTTCTCCACCTTGGTCATCTTGTCAGTAAGTGTCATCCATGGACATGTGATCTCCTATCCAAATGACCCTCATTATTTTAGCATCTGAAGCTAATTGTTTTAAACAAAACACCTGCATGCTGTTGAATCAGACATGAATGTCTTGCTGCAGACCGTGGTTACTTCTAGAGATGCAATAATACCTTTTTTCTGGGAAGGGCAACATGTAATAAATGGTAAAGAGTCTTAACAATGTATAAAACATAGTATATTTTATTCATGTAAAATGTTACTAATATATTACTAACATGAAGTCAGTGTTGAAGGCAGGTTTTGTTGTAGATGTTCTTTTCCCATTGTCTAATTGATGGTTCTTAGTTGTTTAGAGAAACTAATAAGGGGTCAGAATTATATCAATATCAAATATTTTGACCACTTCTGTGTTGAAATCTGCCTTAAATTTGGTAGTGATAGATGTACACTTTCTGTTTAAATAATTTAAGACACCTGTAAAGAAACCTATCAGTTCAGATTTGTTGTTAAATTGTGCTTTGTTTATGAGAATGGGAGCGAGAGTGATTGAGAGCATAAATAAAGATCTAAAATGATGAATGATGTGGTTCTTTATTGATCCCTATTTATTTGCTGATGTCAACAGGTAGGTCAAAGATCAATGTACTTCTTTGTATAAGTAATTGTTCAGTTATACAAGGACTTTGACCTCAGGAGCTTCGTGTCTTTTGCAGAGCTAAGGGAGTGTCTCTGAGCCCAGATGCTGCCGTTGATGCCCAGAAAGACTGCTTTTCCAGTTTAAAATGAGTTTAGAAATTGTGGAAATAATCCGTGAGACTGCTGGATTTCCTGCAGGTCTGAATTCTGTTATAGATTTCCCTGATGCCTGATCCTTTGAGATGTAACAGACACTGGATTGCATGAAGTGACTGCGAAGAGAAGATAACGCGTGAGTACATTTACTCTTTTTACTTTTAACTCATAAGCCTGTGGGGAGATCGTGCTATGTTGTCTTTGTCCAAGGCTAAACCCGTGAGCTAATCATTTACAATAACTTCCACAGACACACAATGAAAAACTTTATTTTGCAGAGCGGACACAATCATATGCAATGAAAAACATCTACACTACATGTGTTTCCTATCTACCTGAGATTTCACTTTTTGTGTTCTTGTTTTCACCTTAAAAATATAGAAAATAATTTAAATTTGTACAAAAAATATGGCCCTCAATTTCATTTCTTCTCTCTGGTGCACCATATGAATGTGGAAGATTTTTTTGTCTCTGCATCACATACAGTAAGTAAAAAAAGATGTACAAATTGAAATGGCATAACAACATGCAAAGCAGTATGGCTTTTTATTCCTTCGGTATATGGCTTAGAATGCAGCATCAAAGGGAGTCCTTGAAGAGCGTCTCATTGGTCCTCTTGTCTTTTCTTACTGCAAAAAAAAGAAAATCATAATCATGCCGAGCCAAGTATTCTGTAAATGATCAGAGCCATGTGACTGAGTTTTACCTCTCCCCTGAAGGTCTGGAGGTCATGACCCAGAGTAAATATTCCTTTGCAGCCAAGGAGTCCAGCACCTTGTTCACGTCACTGGTGAAGCTTCCATCAACATGCCTCCTGCTGAGCGCCTCCCCCCGCCTGTCCGTTTCAGATCTGAGTATGTACACAATGTAAACACTGCCCATTAAGGGTCAGTAGCCCACAATGTGGCCAAGCTGCCATTTTAACTCTGATATTAGGCCTGCAGTGCAGTATTCATCAGAACATTTTCATTGTAGTTATTTTCTGATTGGTGATTACCGGGTGTTTCTTTGATCATTCCATGATTTGTTCATAGGCCGCTTGCACCTTTTTTTTCAAAAATAATCATTCCACTCAATCGTTACACAATAGTAAGATATCAATCAACGCAGTGCAAAAAGTTCAGGTGATTTATTTCAACACAACCACAAGGGACATCAAGAAAAAGCAAAGAAAGGAAAAAAGATGGAGAAGCAGGTGATTATATCTCTCTGACTGTCTCTCTCGTCATGGTGGAATCAGACACAGGCAGGCCGATA